ATAGAAAAATCTAAACCTGTAAGCTCAATTTCACAAAACGACTCCTCATAGAAAACATAGACGTATCCTCATCAAAATTTGGCCGTTATGTGTAAATCATGCCAAATCTGTGCGGAAAGTACGCATAGATGTGCAGATAATCCCCATAAAAATTGTGTATTTCATGCATAGTTATGCGGATAATCCACATAACTATGCATGATTCACGCACTATTTATGCATGATTTGCACATAAGAGAGTGACTTCGGCTTATGTGTGAATCCCGCATAACTATGCAGATTATCCGGATAAGTTTGCAGATAATCTGCACAGCGTTTTCTGTGTATACGGGTCAAAATATAAGGGTCAAAATACAACGATCTGAATATGAGGGTCAAAATTTAAGATTCAGAATTTAAGGGTCACAAGGGACAAAATATGAAAATCGTAAGGGTCAAAATACAAACGTTTGGGTGTAAGGGTCAAAATTGGAAGGTTCAGAATTCAAAGGTCAGAAGGGTCATAAAAATCTAAATATAAAAGTCAAGAAATAAGTGTCTGAAAATAAGGATCAAAATCTAAGGTTCTAAATTTAAGAGTCACAAGTATCATCATATTAGTCTCAAAATTTAAGGGTCTGAATATGAGCGTCAAAATCTGATGTTCGGAATGTAAGGGTCACATGGATCAAAATCTAAGTCATAAGGGTCAAAGTGCAAGAGTCTGAATATAAGAATCAAAATCTCAAATTTCGAATTTTAGGGGCATGTCGGATTTGAAATTTGCCTACTTCTATTTTACCAACTGGGTTGGTTGTTCGTTCCTACATGGCGTAGCGTGAGCGTAGGTTAGCAACGCCGTCGTCATTGCTTCATTTCACTTCTTTACGCCATTGCGAATACATTAAATAAAAGTGTTCTTTGAGTTCTGACCGTTGTTGAATCTTTTTGACCCTTTTTCTGTCCTTAATCCTTCAGGTCACAAGGATCAAAATCTGAGAGTCACCTGGATCATTTTAAGACTTAAGGTTCAAAATTCGAATATTCGTTATTCGTTCGAATAATTGGAACTTTATGGTTCTCGAGCTTGTTCTCACGCCTAACGACAAATTTATATAAAATTTCCATAAATTCGTCATTTCATGGTCACTGTTGAATTGAAAAATGAAACAAAAATCGTGCCTATTGTTATATTAGCCTCTCTGATCATTTTACCCCCTCACGGACGGGGCCCTTTTGTATCCAAGCGTGGAGTACGTTCGATACGAGTAAAATGTAATGACTTCTAATCAACGGAAAATTAGGAAACCAATATGTAATTGAAGCTAAAGTAGGCTTTTTTTAATTGAACTGTAATTGAAGCTACAGTAGCTTTTTTCGTTGTTATTCATTTGATTGACTTAAATTCCATAGTTTTGGAAATAATCAATTTTAAAGAGAGTCATTCATATTTTCATGGGTCGATGCATGTCATCGACCCCGTACGTGAAGGATTAACAGTCATGGGAAATATAAGATAGTCCGTCTGTGCCGCAAAAAATGATATAATTATTTTGAAAACAATGATGAAAATTTGAAAATTCTAAGCCATAATGGTTACAGATATATTTGATTTCCCTCCATTATTTTTCGGATATACAGGGTGTCCCAGAAGTACATGCTGATCCTGAACCAACATGTACAGGGGGTGATTCTGAGCCGAAAAGTCCTTTTCCACTTTTCGATCAGAAGCACCCCTCCGGAGATATTGGGGTAAATAGGATAGCCAATGACGCTGCAGCATTAAGCGGCAGTACGTCCGTGTGGCTCCGCGCGCCGGCGTGCGTGATTCCCCTACTAGTCAGCAGGAGGCGGGATAGCGTTTCACGTTCACCCGTGAGCGAGAGAGAGAAGGAAAGATATTTCTCTCTCGCTCTCACATCTCTCTACGAAAATGTTTTTGCCATTATCTGTTAAACAATTGGGTTTAGGGGATTTTTCCATTGATTATTTTTTGTAGCAAATCCAATTTGCAACAAACTAATCTCATGCAAAAATCACGTAAACTCAATGGTTGACCCAATGGTTGAAAGAAATCCTTGAGACCTACTGGGCAGAGTTTCTCTCGCAGCAGGGAAGCATAATCGAATATCTACCTCACGATCATCCCTATTTGACTGAAGGAATCTTCGAACAGACAGCTGTCACAAAGGAGCAAAGTATAAAGCTCATCAGTAAGCTGAAGGGTCGGCTGTCAAAGAAAACTCAACCAGCAAGTAATTCACCAGGCCAAGAACACCCAGAGAAGCTCAAACGTCTGGATTTGAAGGCTTTCGACGGCACACCATCCCAGTGGAAGGAATTCAGAGAACTCTTCACCGCGCTGGTCGGTAGCAAATCAATAATCGCACTAGTGGAGAAGTTGATTAGGCTCAAGAGCAGCCTCAGAGGACCTCCAGCTACTCTCATATCAACATCAGACATCAACGACCAGAATTATGAAAAGGCTTGGCAAAGGCTCAAGGCGAAATACGATGATCCAAGATTGGTGGCTCAGTACCTGTTCAATCGAATACTGGAGCTACCAAAAATCACCAAGGCAACTCAGGAGAAACTCAACCACAACACAGATACAGCAGTCGAGTCACTAGACCAGCTACGAGAGGTAGTTGGTCTCTCAGAAGCGAACTTGATGGAACAGATGATCGCCCATCTGCTGAGGAGATCATTAGATGCAGAAATCCTCAAGCAGTGGAAATTGAAACTGGGAGACTTCAAGGATTTCCCCAGTCTGAAGGAATTCGTCGGATTCGTCGAAGCCTGCGGCAGAGGAATCAACGCAGGATCAGAGCTTCATGCAACACAGTAAAATCCCCAAAGAGATCCACCAGCACGAGCACATCCAGTTGCAGCAAAAGTCAACGAACCTGCTGAGCTACTCACTAGGTACAGCTCGATGGCTCGGGTTCTAGCAGTAACAGCGACAATCAACAGGGCAATTGACAGATTCAAAAGACTGCCGACGCCCCCGGGACCAGTCCTGTCAACAAGAAAACTCAACGGAGCGAGATTATTCTGGGTAATAATAACACAAAATGAGTTTTTTGTTTCAGCCCTTCGTGTGCTTCAGAGAAATCAACAGCTACCACGAAGTTACCAACTAGCAAAGTTCACACCAGCCAGAGTACTAATTGATCAAGGATCAGAGGTGTCATTTATCTCTGAGAAATTAGTACATCAACTGCACCTCACAAGGACACAGAAGCGCTCGGGGAGTCAACATTCAAGGCTTCACGACAGCTCAGATCAACAGTCAGCAAACTCAACAACAATCAGGCATATGCCCAGCTCTACTAGAAGTTCATCAACGAGTACGAGGCTTTGGGACATATGCAGAGAGCACCCGATTCTCCAGGATCTTCCCCAGCTTATTATCTGCCACACCACGGGGTTCTGAGAGAAGAGGCCATCACTACAAAGCTGAGAGTCGTTTTCAACGGTTCCAGTCCCAGCTCATCAGGTATGTCACTCAATGATATATTATATCCTGGTGGTAAATTGCAGATCAACGCCATGCACGTCGTGACATGGATGAGAAAGCACAGACTCGTGTTTGACACCGACATCGGCAAGATGTTTAGACAGATACGAGTTCATCGGGACGATTGGGAGCTCCAGAAGAAGATCAACTAGAGGACGAAGAAGACCAACAGAACGACAACCAGTAATTCAACAACCCTGATGTTGAATGCCCCCGGGGTGTTTGAAACGTAACCCAACAACTCCAAGACCAAGATCGATCAGCTCGGCCAATTACGAAAATCATCGGTCTTTTCCGGGTCAACGCTCAGGTCTAGTAGAGTCACCGTAAATCAACGCGAGTCAGTATCAAACCATCGGCCATATAGTCCGTTTTGATTAGAGTTCAACTCCGTATTCGAGTAACGCGCAGAGATTAGACACGTTCAGTACATTAACGTCTATTAGCTCGGCGATAGAAATTCAGTAAAGAGAAATTCACGTTATTTATTGGCCATTCAACCAGTGACTCAACAGTGCTAAAACTATAGACAATTAAATTAATTCAGTACGATCAACAAGTGACAAGGTGTTTTGTAAATTTGACAGAGCGTGGTTTAAACCCGAGAATAAATTAACGTTCATACTAGGTCAAGACTCTCAACAATTATTTTCACACCGACGATCCTCTAACCTCCCAATCCACCTTAAATCTAATTCCTCACCAAACAGATTATTTTTGTTGCAAATTCGATTTGCGACAAAAAATAATCAATGGAAACATCCCCTAAACCCAATTGTTGAACAGATAATGGTAAAAAACTTTTCGTAACTCGGGATTTCCCGAAAATCGTGGGCCATCCCCTTCGCATTTTTGGGGCCATTAATTAATTGTTAATTATCTCTTCAACTGAGAATTTTAAGGGATTTTGTCAAAAGAACTTTATTCTGTTAAATTTCATTATCAAGATAAAAGATTTATTCACAAAATTTCCTAATCCTCTTGGTATCTGAGATAATTAACAATTAGGACTTCCGTTTCCGGTCTGCGAGGAGCAAGTGGTGGTTTCGCGGATGCGACGGTTTTTTTGCAAATTCGCAAGGGTTATAGTTGGGAGGAGGGTTGGAATGGGAGGAGGAGGGGAGGGAGAGTGGGCGGAGTGATTGGTGGATGAAGGGTTGTGATCTGGTGGAAGGAATTGTGTGAGAGTGGCGTGAAAGGGTGGGCACGTGCATTGGAAGTTAGCTGTGAGTGTGGGCAAGATCTGGGTCAACAGCAGGGTATTGTGAAAAAGCGGAGGGTGAAAAAGGGGCAGCGCAGTAGGATTGTGCAAGATAGGAAGTAGGGCTGAGTAGGTAAAAGGGCTGGTACCCCTGGTAAAAGGGCAAGGTTTGGTGGTAGGTGGCAAAAGGGGGGGGGGAGAGAGAAAGGGAGTTGTTCAGGTGGTGACGTGAAAGCGAAAGTGAGAGAAAGAGGAAGCAGAGGAGATAGATAGGTGGGTAAGGGAGGGAGAGTCGGTGTGATGAGTTACTTTAAATACACGTTATCCGGTGAGGATAAGGTGGATCAGGTGTTGCGGGAGGAGAAGAGGGTCGAAGGTGAGGAGGTGGCGGGGGAGGGGGTAGGCGCGCCATCAGGGAATCTGAGTATGGATGAGACGTATTATGAATCGGCAGGGGCAGGAGGGGGTGATGAGGAGACGGATAGCGAGGGCAGGGAAAAGAGGGAAACAAGTGATGGGGTAGGAAAAGTTAATAATAAGAAGAAGAGGGGGCCACTGCCAATGGCACAGAGGTTGTTGAGGGAAAAGGTAGAGAGACAGAAGTTGGGAATGAGATGCGAATCAATACAGGATCTGATGCAGGTAGCGAAGGATATGGAATTCGATAAGGGACGAGAAGAGGTTAGCAATGTAGGAAGAGGGAGGGACGGTGGTCAAAATAGGAACAGAGAGAGGCGGGGGGAAGAGGAAAGCGATGAGGACGAGGAGGAAAGTAAGAAAAGAAAAAGGAGGAGGGTAATGGGCAATTGGGGGAGGGGGGAGTGAGCAGGCTGGAGAAGTTGCTAGAACGGTTCAGCAGGGATACCATGGCAGCGCTGGAGGATCTGAAAATTGAAGGGAGGGAGGAGAGAGAAGAAATGCAGAGAATGAAGGAGGGTTTAGACATGTGGCAAGGGAAATGGGAAGAAGAACGGGGAAGAATATGGGAAAAATTGAATGAGGCAGAGGAGAAATGGGAGAAGGCGGAGAGGGAAAGAAAGGAGGAGAAAAAGGAAACGGGAAATAGATTAGAGAGGGTAGAAGAAAAGATTGAGAAAGTTGACGTGATCGAAAGAAAAGTCAAGGAGTGGTTAGGGAGGAGAGGAGGGATTGGGGGGAGGGAGGGGAGTGGAAGCATAGGCGCGAGCATAGAGAAAAGAGTCCAGGAGTTAGAATGGAGGGAGGAAAAAGCAGAAAGGGAGAAGAGGAAGAGCAATTTTGTAATTAGGAGAGTGAGGCTAGACACAATGGACGGAAGAGGGGAAGTGGAGAAATGGTTGAGGGAGGTGCTGGAGGTAGAGGTAGAGGTGCAGTGGATAAGGAAATTTGGAGGTAAAGATAGGGATGGGGGGGGGAGTCGATAGTAGTAGGGCTGAAGAGTGAGGACCAAAAAAAAGAGTTTTTGATAGTAGGGGAAAGCTGAAGGGGAGAAAGGAACGGATAGGACATGACCTTACATTCAAGGAGAGGAGGATACAATGGGAGCTGGAAAGAATGGCGGATTTAGAGTTGAGGTGGGGAAGGGAAGTGGGAGTGGGAAAAGGAAGATTGTGGATCGAGGGGAGACTCTGGATTTGGGATGATAAAATGATGAAGTTAAGGAATGGAAGGGGAGAAGTTTGGGACGAGGAGAAGAGAAAAAATAAGGTGGAGGATGAGACTCAAGAGGACGTAATGGACATGGAGGGGGAGGGGGAAGGCAGCGGAAGGTAAATAGAGTAGAAGACGCAGAAGGGAAGCATAAGGGGAGCGTGAAGAGGAAGGGAGGGAGGAGTAAGGTGGTGTTTTGGAATGTAGCAGGGATAAAAAAGAAGGATCCAGATTTTTGGAAGAGAATGAAAGAGTGGGACGTGGTAATTCTGATAGAGACGTGGTTGGATAAGGAGGGTTGGGAGGGGATAAAGAGGCGAGCACCTGAGGATTTCAGGTGGAAGGTGCAAGTGGGTAAAAGGGATAAAAAAAAGGGGAGATGGATGGGGGGTATGATGATGGGGATAAAGAAAGAGCTATGTGAGGAGGGATGGGAGGGAGTAGAAACGATAGAGCAAGGGATGGAGGGGTGGATAGAAGGAGTGGTTAGGTTGGGTGAAAGAAGGTGGAGGGTGATAGGTATATATGTGAATGAGGATGAGGAGGTTAAGTTAGAACGGGTAAAAACGGTAATGGAGGAACGAACAGAGGAGTTGGTGCTCATCGGAGGGGACTTCAATATGAAGACAGGTTGTAAAGGGGGTGGGGGAGAGGGGGCGGAAGGAGAGAGGAGTAGGAAAAGGAACTCGATGGATGGGAGGGAAGCATGCAAAGGGGGAAAGGCTCTGGTAAGAATATTGGATGAAATGGGATGGTCAATTTTGAATGGGAATTTTGCTGGGGACGAGGAAGGGGAATTCACGTTCGAGAGGGCAGGGATGAGTTCAGTGATAGACTATGTATTAGCAGAGGAAAAGGGAAGAGAAAGGATAGAGAGGTTTGAAGTGGGGGTGAGGTGTGACTCTGACCACTATCCATTGGTGGTGACAGTGAAGGGTGAAGAGACTAGAGAAAAGAAAAAAGAAAAAAGAAAAGCAGGTGTGAAAAGGATAAAGGTCGCGAATTGGGATAGGGAGAAAAGAGGGGAGCTCAGAAGAAGACTGGAAGGGGTGAAGTGGAGGGAAGAGGGAGCGGTTGATGAATTGTTGGAGGAGGTAAGGCATAGAGTGAAGCAGTTTAAGAAAGAAATAGAGGAAAAAATAAAATGGAAGAGAAAAAGGTGGGGGGATTGGTGGGACGAGGAGTGTAGAGATATGAAGAAGTGAGAAAGGTATTGAGGAGAGCGAGGAAGGGATTAGGGAGTAGAGAGGAATACAGGGAAAAGAAACGGAGATATAACAAGCTCTGCGAGGAGAAAAGAGCGGAGGAAATAGCGAAGTTCGAGAGTGAGGTGGAAAAGGCGATAGAGGAAGGCAGCGTATGGGAAGTAATAAACAGAGAGAGAGAGGAGGGCGTGGAAGGGAATTAATGAAGATATAGAAATGAGGGAATGGAAGTTATATTTTATGAGACTGTTTGGTGGTGTAGAGGGCAAGGTGAGGGGGCATGAGAGGAGGAAAAGTGCAGGGTGGGAGGAAGAGGGATTGACGCAGGAGGAAGCGAAGGGAGCGATAAGGGAATTGAAAGGGGGAAAAGCAGCGGCAGAAGACGGAATAGAGAATGAACTATGGAGAGAAGGGGGGGAGGGGATGAAAAGGGTAGCATGGAGGATTTCTGATAGGGTGTGGAGGGGGGAAGGGTGGCCGGAGGAGTGGAAGGAGGGATTATTAGCGCCGATAGTGAAGAAAGGAGAGGGAAGAAAGGTAGAGGAATACAGAGGGGTTACGTTAATGCACACGCTATATAAAGTTTACGCGGCGGTGGTAACAAAGAGGTTAGAGAAGGAGGTAAGCGAAAAGAAAATAGCACCGCACAATCAGACGGGATTTAGGCAAGTGATGGGGACGATTGACAACATCTACGTGTTGAATTACTTGGTGAACAAGCAGCTGACAAAGGAAATGGGGAAGTTAGTGGCGTTTTTCGTGGATTTGAAAGCGGCGTTCGATTCGGTGAATAGGGGGGTGATGTGGGAAACGATGGAAAGGAGGGGGATAGCGAAGGGCCTGATAGAACGGATAAAGGAAATATATGTGGAAACGGCGAGCAAGGTAAGGGTGGAAGAGAAAGTTTCGGAGAAGTTCTGGACAGCGAGAGGTGTAAGGCAGGGGTGTCCATTGAGTCCGATATTATTTAATGTGTTTTTAGCGGATCTGGAGGAATATATGAGGGGCAAGTGGAGGGGGGGAGTGGAGTTGGGAAATACGAAAATATTTTCTTTAGCCTACGCGGATGATATGGTGTTAGTAGCGGAGGACGAGCCAGGAATGAGGATCATGATAGGGCAGATGGGGGAATATATTAGGAAAAAGGATCTTTCGATAAACGTAGATAAGTCCAAGGTAATGGTATTCAGAAAGAAGGCGAAGAGGGAGAATGAGAGAGATGTATGGAAGTTAGGGGGGGGGGAAATAGAGGAAGTAAGGCAATTTTGTTACCTGGAATATTGGTTCAAAAGTACGGGCGGACAGGCAAGACAGGTGGAAGAAAGGATAGCGAAGGCAGGGAGGGTGATGGGGCCGGTATGGGGTATTGGGAAGAGAAGGTTTAGAAAGGACTGGAAGAGGAGAGTCTGGCTGTTTGATACCTTGGTATGGTCGGTCATGGGGTACGGGGCGGAGATATGGGGGTGGGAAAAATGGGAAGGGATGGAGAGGATGCAGGAGAGATACCTGAAGTGGGTGTTAGGCCTGAAAAGGTCGTCTCCAGGGTATCTTGTAAGGGAGGAGTTGAAAAGGGATAAAATGAGTAGCAGGGCAGCAAAAAGAGCATGGAAATTCGAGAAGCTCTGGAGGGGGGAGGGTAGTAATCTGGCGAGGGTGTGTTTGAAAGAGATAGAGAGTAGGGAAAAGAAAGGAGGTATTTTAAAGTGGGAAGTGGGAAGGAGAAGGTTTAGGGAGGAGAGAGGCCTAGAAGCGGAAGGCGAAGGAAGGGTAGGGGAAAGGGAAGAGGTGGAGAGTTATGATCAAATGGAGAGAATAGAAAGGGAGAGGCAGGTAAGGGAGAGATGGGAAAAGATTGTCGCGTCAGCAGGGAATACATGATATAAAGGGATGGCAGTGGAGGGGATCCCGAGATATCTGGAGAAAAGCTGGGGTGAGGAAAGGTGGAACAGGGTGGCGAGGTTTATGTTGGGAGAGGGGTTAAGGGGGGAAAGAAAGTGGGAGAAGGAAGAACTCAGTAAATGTAGGAGGTGTGGTTGGCAGAGGGAGACGTGGATGCATGTGCTGGAGGAATGTATGGAGGAGGAAGATGGAGGGAGGGATGTATGGGAAAGAGTGACTGAAATATTGGACGAGCAAAGAACGAGAGAGAAGTGGATGATAGAATGGGAAGGGTATGGAAAGGAGAGTGAGTGAAATGTCAGTGTGTATTGGGGAATGGGAGGGATGAGGAGAGAAAGGGGGGTGCGCCGACCGTGGGAGGGGAGAGGGAGTAGAGGCAGTTTGGAAGAAAGCTCATGTGGAGACCGGAAATGGAGGTCCCTCTCAATCTCTCGCTCATTCACTCATGATCACTGTCGGTTTATTAATCGGTAGATATAAGGAACTAGGAATAAGAGGTAAAGCATTGTAATGTTTTTGTAGGAAGTTGGCAGAGTTGCTTTTTCCTAGTCCTTGTATCCCCTATGGGATACAATGTTATCAATAAAATACATACATAATTAACAATTAAACAATCGCCTCAGAAATCGAACGGAGGATGGGGTTAATTTTCGGAATTATTTCGCAAAAAAAACTGTTTTACAATTATCTTGTAAACAAATGGGTTTACAAGATTTAGATATTGATTATTATTTCCCGAAAATCGTCGGCCATCCCCTTGGAATTTCCGAGGTGATTAATTAATTATTAATTATCTCCTCAACCGAGAATTTCAAGAGATTTTGTCAGAAGAACTTTTTTCTGTTAAATTTCATTAATAAGATAAAAGATTTATTGACAAAATTTCCTAGTCCTCTTGGTATCTGAGATAATTATCAATTAAACAATCGCCTCAGAAATCGAAAGGGGGACGGGGGTAATTTTATCAATTATTTCGTAAAAAAAAACTCTTTTATAATTATTTTGTAAACAAATGGGTTTACAAGATTTAGTTATTGATTATTATTTCCCGAAAATCGTCGGCCATCCCCTTGGAATTTCCGAGGTGATTAATTAATTATTAATTATCTCCTCAACCGAGAATTTCAAGAGATTTTGTCAGAAGAACTTTTTTCTGTTAAATTTCATTAATAAGATAAAAGATTTATTGACAAAATTTCCTAGTCCTCTTGGTATCTGAGATAATTATCAATTAAACAATCGCCTCAGAAATCAAAAGGGGGACGGGGGTAATTTTATCAATAATTTCGCAAAAAAAAAACTCTTTTACAATTATCTTGTAAACAAATGGGTTTACAAGATTTAGTTATTGATTATTATTTCCCGAAAATCGTCGGCCATCCCCTTGGAATTTCCGAGGTGATTAATTAATTATTAATTATCTCCTCAACCGAGAATTTCAAGAGATTTTGTCAGAAGAACTTTTTTCTGTTAAATTTAATTAACAAGATAAAAGATCTACCGACAAAATTTCCTAGTCCTCTTGGTATCTGAGATAATTATCAATTAACCAATTGCCTCAGAAATCGAAAGGGGGACGGGGGTTAATTTTCGGAATTATTTCGCAAAAAAAACTATTTTACAATTATCTTGTAAACAAATGGGTTTACAAGATTTAGATATTGATTATTATTTCCCGAAAATCGTCGGCCATCCCCTTGGAATTTCCGAGGTCATTAATTAATTATTAATTATCTCCTCAACCGAGAATTTCAAGAGATTTTGTCAATAGAACTTTTTTCTGTTAAATTTCATTATCAAGATAAAAGATCTTTTGACAAAATTTCCTAGTCCTCTTGGTATCTGAGATAATTAACAATTAAACAATCGCCTCAGAAATCGAAAGGGGGCGGGGGTAATTTTCTCAATTATTTCGTAAAAAAAAACTCTTTTACAATTATTTTGTAAACAAATGGGTTTACAAGATTTAGTTATTGATTATTATTTCCCGAAAATCGTCGTCCATCCCCTTGGAA